GAGAGTACGGGGCTGTGCTCCAGATCCAGTGGTGAAGATGAGGAATTAGAGCTCTGCAGGGCGGGAAGCAAACTGCTGAGAGGATTGTAAGATTAAGGAGTAACTAGGTCTACTCTGGCTACGCAGTCAAACAGAACTGATGTTTGGCAGGGGGGGAGGAAGGCAGAGATCAGCAAGGTGGGGATCTGCCTTTGTTACCTTGGCTGTCAAGAGGAACATCATCTCTGAACCCTCCTCACACACACACACACACACTTGCAGGTTTGCAGGTGATGTGGTGCTGAGCCTGCATGCCCTCAGCCAGCCCCGCGCAGACCTTTAAATCTGTGCTCACCGAGCATCTTTTCAGCTATAGAGACAGCACCCAGGTAGGAAGGGCTGGCAGGCCAGAAGGCAACCAAATACATTTAGAGGGATGGTGTTGCCTTCACAAAAGCAGGGAACACAGCAGGTGAGCAGCCATTTACGGCAGCAGAGGCCTGGAAATCCCGTCTTTGTGCGCCGCATGAATGGAGGGTTTGTGCAGGCCTCCCCTGCCGGCCTCGGGAAGGTGAGGGCAGCTTGATGGCACACAGTGCCAGCCAGGAACGCCGCAACTCTCCCCATGCCAAATGAATCAGCTGCAAGGAGGATGGGCATGCATAGCAAGTAAGAAACACAGCAGGCAGTTTCCCATCCAGAAGCCTTTTAAAAACAGGAAAAAAAAAAACCCAACCAGTTTTTTCCTGCATGTGAGGAATGAGATCTTTAGTGCCCGTGTGCTTCAGATCCGGAGTCCTACACATTTGAAAGTGCTGCGTGGGATCTCTATTTTAGGGATCAATTTCTGGCAACTGGATCCAAAACTTGGCCAGAGCTGTCAGTAAAGGACTTTTATAGCTCTAATAAATGAGGATCCAGATGTTCTGAAGCCCAGGGAGGCGTTGTGCTTGTCTGCTGTGAGTCTGATAGGAGAACTGGGAGCATGGAAGGACAACTAAAGGTAAAAAAAACCCCACAACCAAACACCAGACCAGCAGGATCACAAGGTAGGCATGACAACATACAATATTATATACAAAGTATATATGACAGGCTATTGTTATCTCTGTAATGTATTTGTCACAAGCAACAGCCACCCTGTGGCACCTGGCTAACCCTTGACATGTTTGGGATGCAGAGATAGGAACAGCTGATGCCGTGCAAATTGCAGGGAGATTTTGGAAGCAGTGAGGAATAACACCAGTTTTGGCTAGGATATCTGGCAAAAGCCCCTGAGATCTTTAATGTTCCTGCCCTTGAGTTTTAAGACTTTGCACAAAAATTTCGCTCCTGCAGCATAAGTGAAAATGCCTCTGAGGTACCATTTCCACTCTTTGCAGCAGCTGCATTGACCTTGGAGGTTGCCCAACATTATTTAACGTGAAGGTCGTGCCTGGAGGCTGTCTGGATTCCAGTTCACAGGAAGACTGGACAGATCCCATTCACCAACCCCACCACGAGAGACCAGTGGCCCTGGAAACACCCCAGAGATCCCAATTCCTGCCCGTCTGCCCCTGCCCGCAGCCCAGGTCCCAGAGGTCTTACTGTTCTGGCAGATCCAGGGGCTCTTCTCCCTGGCTGTGACTTCACGAGCTTCCATCTCCTCCTCTTCCTCACCCTCTGAGAGCAGGTCAGAGATCTGCTGCTGCAGCTCAGGACTAATGTTGTTCTCCGCGAGGATGAGCGTCCGTAGGGCTGTGGGGTAATTCTCTACCATGTCCAGCAAGGTCTGGGTGGAGAGCAAGATAAACAGGCTGACAAGCAGCACAAACAGCAGCTAGGCTGTGCAGAAAGAGCTTCAGCACTCCACCTCCCTGCAGGTTCCAACCACCTCATCTTACCTCTACCTTCCCTTGGCCTTGACCTCCCTTTGCTTCTTGAGAGCCTGAGGACTTATCCTTCTGTAGGAAGAGCTGAGCCTGTTTTTCTTGGCTCTATCTAGAGGAAGTGACTGTTCTACACCTTGTTGCTGCCACATATCCAGGCTTATCCTCTTCTACCACTGGAAGCAGGGGCTCTGAGAGGAGAGCCCGTGCTACCAGGCCATGGCTCCTATCTGTCTAGAGAGCTTTAGCTCTGATCCTCAGTCATGGGTCCAACTCCACGCTTCTTCCAAGAAAACCAAATTACAAATAGAGTTGCATGTTTCTCCCTGCACGGGAGATCCAGGTGCCCGAGGTGAGAACTGGGGCTTACGAGCTACTCCTGTGGCTGAATACAATGGGCCAGGGAAAAGCAACAGCATCCCTGAGCACAGGGAGAGAAGGGGGTGCATGTGGACTCAGGGAGGAGAATGGAAGGAGGTACAGGTCGTAGGGCCTCTATAGATGGCCAAGGCCTATGCCCTTGAAATGACAGTGATGCTGCAGAGTAACTGTAACTCTCATACCAGGGCAGACTGGTTGGTAAGTCCTGTTCCCTCCAAGTCCAGAACTTCGAGAGTTCGACTGGAGGCCACAGCGACGGCGAGCATCCCTGCTACCTGGTCACCTGCGGGAGAAGCAAACCAGGCTGTGAGCAGTGCCTGCCCTCCCTCATCTAATAACACATGTCCTCATGAGCCCAGGGCTGTCGTAGAAACATTCTCTAAGTATTTCTGCTGTCAGACAAATCTCAGTTACCTTGAGGGAAAACCCCTAACCTGTTAATTGAGAAGAGACAAGGTAAAAGTGCACCATTTTGTGGTTACAGGAGCAGTCACTGATTATCAGGGAAAATGTGAAGGAACACAGCAAAATTGGTTTTATTCCCCAAGGAAGCCTATCTTCCAAAATCTCCTTCCTACTCAAGGATGTGAAGGTCTTTAACAGTCCTTGTAAGCCATTCCAGATGCAGAATAAGGAGCTGAAGACCTCAGTCTAAGGGGAGGCTGGAGCCTGACAGAGGGCCCTGCACCAGCTGACAGCCAGCCTCTCTGGAAAGGGGACAGACATTTTTGGGAAACAGCAGGACCAGGAGCATTAGAAACTGATGCTGGTGAAGAGCCAAGACTCTAAAGTATTCTCCTGATACTCCTTGTCAGGTGCCAAGATACAATACAACTGTGACACCTTCTCTTGAGAAAAAAAAAAAAAGACAAACCAAAAAACAACAAAAACCAGATTGCTGGCAGGCAGCACAGTGGGGCCTTTCCCACCCAACAGGAGGCACCTGGTCAGACTGACAGGACCTGGAAGGAGGCTCTAATACCAGACTGGGTAAAGAGAAGAGATTAGGGAGGCATGGCCTGGTCTCCTCTTCACCACCTTGCAGCAGAGCTGGAGAGTTGGTTTCCATGGCAACGGGTGCCAGTCTCTCCTCCTCCTCCCTGCACCAGCAGGAAGATGAAGAGGGGAGCGCAGGGACATACTGTATGTGCCAAGGCAAGCATTGGCACCCAGGGCCTCAGGAACAGAGGAGACATGGGGGGTCAAACATGACAACAAAGGCAGTGGAGCAAATAAGGCACAACCTCCTTTCTGAACCTACCCACAGGGCACGTTGCCACCTCACACAAGCAAAAGCAGCAAGACTGGCCCTACAGCCAAAGGGACCTGGCAGGGTGAACTCGCTGCTGGGGATCGGAAGGCACCTGCAGAAGAAATTGCCCCAACCTACTGGTGATGCTCTACTGCCTTTCTAGAGTTTCGTCCGCAGTCACCCACCCACAGAAATTGCACTTACGCTGAAAGGCAGGAGTATGTCTCCTGGTCCTCCTCCCCAGGCCCCCCAGCTTACCTAGCGGGTTGTAGTCCAGGTTCAGCACGCGGAGCTGTGAGCTGTGAGCCACGGCAATGGCCAGGCGTCCCCAGCCTTTGCTTGTGACACCTGGGTTGGCGCTCAGTGTTAGCTCTTTGAGGCCTGGAAAAGAAAGAGAAGCTAAACCAGAGCCTTAGGGTCACCAAAGCAGTCTCAGGTGAACTAGTTCAGCTAACCAGAACAGCTTTAAGTTGTGTCTCCTGTACTCTAATGGACCAAAGGGTTGGCTTTGCTCTGACAGCTGTCACCACGTTTCACTGATCAGTGAAACACTTCACTGCCTTCAGCAGCAGACCTTCATTTGCCCATGCTGTGATTGCCCCATTTCTCTGCTCTCCCAGCCTGTGTCCTGCTTACTCTAAATAGCAAACACAATGGAAACAAGTAAGGGGTGCGCAAGGTGACTGGAGGAGGTGGCACAAGGTGATAGGTTGAAGAGAGCACAATGAGGACAGTAGGCTCTGAAGCCTGCACCTGGGAGGGGTGGCCAGCAGAGATAACAGCACTGAGCACACAGAGGAGAAAGTGCTGGGAAGAGGTGGAAAGCACTTTGAGAGTCAGGAGAGAGGAGTGGTGTTATCTCAGCGCACGCCAGCTTTCAACTTAACTGGACCATTGGCCTCTGACCATCAAAGATCATCCCCTGCAAAGATCTGAGGCTTGGCACTAAGGCTATGACCATGCAACTACACACTCACATGTCCTCACAAGCAGGGACAATTCCCAGGCACTGACAACAAATCCAAGTGCTGAGGTCAGTGCACACTGTATATTTATCTATGGTCATTATAAACTCGCAAATGCAAAAATAATAAATTCAAAGTCCACGCTGTCGCCTCCTGCAGTTTCAAGTACTCTTGTCATGTACCAGAAGGAACTTGTTGGTCCCTGAGCACCAAGCTGCCAGCAGGACAGATCCATAGCAGAAAGCCCATGCCTGCCCAATGGAACCGCTCCTCTATTGCTTAGCTTTTCTGCTTTACTTAAGTTGGGGAAAAAAATTTCTCAGCCCTGGCAAAGTATAGAGCCTGCCTCCTCCAGGGATGAGGATTTACTGCTGCATGCATCTGTTCTACATGAAAGCTCCACCAGCCCCTGGTGCTTACCGGACTTGGCCCCGTCAGGCGGCAGAAGCCCACAGATAAGGTTGATGCCTTCATCACCCAGCATGCAGTCTCCTAGATCCAGAGCCACCAGCGAGGGGTGGATGGAGAGAGCAGGGTTGAGGAGGGCCAAGCCTGCATCTGTCAGGGGACTCCCATGGAGGCTGTGCAGGTAAAAGGGAAAATTACGATGGAGCTTTCTTCCTGGGGGCTAACTAACCTGATGGTGAGGAGGAAGCAGACAAAATGAGGAGGATGACAAATCCTAACCCCAGGTGTGGAAAAAGCCCTGGGAAGGCTCTGCCGCGAGGGTC